CACGGCAGCTTGCTAAGTTTTTCTGACAGGTTCTTTCCTAACGGGCCCCTTACGATGAATTTATTTTCTCCATTTGGTTCCACGTCGGTTGGTGGTATATGTCATATTTTTAGCAATAAGTATGATTAAAATACTTTTCTCATCATATTCTGACTGTATTTCTCTGCAGTTAGTCTATAAAGACTTAGAAGGGGTGGTCTTAGTTTGTGAATGTCACATATAAATATAGTAGATGTTTAATTTTCAGCTGATAAATTCAGCTGATAAATAAAAAATTGTATTATTACTTAAAGTGAGTTTGAGCAGTAATTTTTATTTTTATCAAATTTTCTCAATATCTTTGAATTATAGTATCTAATGTGATCACAGAGTTGATCATTATATAAAGGAAGAGGCACCTGTCAGATATAACTTCTTAGTTTTACCTCCCAATGAGAAAGTTTTTTTTAATTAAAAGTTTTGTTTTGTTTTTTACATCTTTGTAACTTGGCATTTCTAATTTCATGCTTTTCTATATGTTGCCTTTGCCCTTTGCCTTTTAAAAAATGGACATAACCTTATTTTCCCTTTTTCCATATTTTCCCTCTAAAGTACAATTTCTCATACCAAGTAATACTTTTCTGTATTTTATGAGTTGCCTATATTTTTCCCACTGACTTGTTCAAACAACACAGAAAGTCTAGATTTTTATATTTATTCTTTCATTCTACTGTTGGTTTGTCTTAATTATCAAATATCTATTTCTTCTTTTAAATGTCTTTCTTTTTTATTAATGTGAACAGATCTTTCTTTATACTTGCTTAGAATTGAGAGAAAAACAATGGTTACATGTACAGGTGTTCAACAATAGAGGAAGGATTAAGTAGCAGCATCTATTGAGATCACTCCTTAGCCAATAAAATTATTCTGAAAATATTTTATAACATAGAAAAGTATTTATAACCTCGAAATTGAAAATGTAAATTTTGTAAGACTACATCTATACATGGGGGGATTCCCTATATTTGCAGAAACTTAAAATTTACATAGTATCATGGTGTATTAGTGACAAGAACAAGGGGTAACCAACTTTTATGATGGTATTAGAAACTTACATTGTTTAATGAATAGAGTATTAAACTGCCTTCTAAATGATACTTCATACATTAGATAAATAAGATAACCTCTTACTTTTGTCAAAGAAGCTTCCTTCTGGTAGTGGATAGTGGCTAATACAGACTTATAGTTAGTCAATTTGTGCAGACTATGTGGCTATGGAATTCTCAACCCTGAGACATCACACACACACAGAAAGGGGGGTGGGCAATGCGGAGAAGAAAAGGGTGTTAAGAGTGTAGGAAACAGATCATAGTGAGAACTGCAGTAACAGTGTCCTCTGGACCTGACAGGCCTGTTGCACTCAAGACCTCTGGGCAGCTGTGGTTGCCTGAGAAAGACCTGACCCTGCTCCTTGCCGCATTCTCCCTTGAGTCCATCTGGCTTACTTGCACTCAAGGAGGTGCAGCATACTTTGGAACCACTGGGGACATGAAAGCCAGTCGTTAAAACTAGGAGTCTCTCCATGTGCCCATGTTGAGCTTGCCCTGCATATTAAATTTCTGGATTTCCAACAGTTGGTATTCTAAAGTTGAATTCTTAAAAGTTAAGTCTTCAAACTCCTTCATAAAATTTCCTTGACTTTTTCCATCTCATCGATCAGTTTCTGCTTTTCTCCCTCCTCCCATCTATCTCTTTGGTTTTCAATACTTCACAGTCTTTGGAGATACCGACTGTGTGGGCATGTTGGGTGGACTCTAGCTGAGCCTTGGTGAACTGCAGCTGCTTCTTCAACATGTCAATCTCCTTCTGTAGCTTGTCATTCAGTGCCTTTGTTTTTCTCCCAAGACAAGAATCTGCAAGGTGACGGCGATGAATGTGGCTCTGCAGAAAAGCTTGGTTCATAAAGGTTTTGTCACAAAAATGGCACTGGTGATGGCTGGCTTTGGCCTGGCCCATCATGAGCTGCTGGGCAGACAACATCTTCTTCTGGCACTTACACTCCTGTTTGAGTAGTCTGATCTCCTCAGACTTCCTGGTGTGTAGCTGTTTGTTCTGCTCACAGCCACTCTGGCTCAGGAGCAATCGTTCCTCCACTGTGTTCAGCTGTGAGGTTAGGAACTCCTGAGAATGCATTAGGTACTCAATGGTGAGCTGTGCCAAGCGGATGAGCTTCAACAGCAGTGGGTCCACCTCCAACTGGCAATGCGGGCACTTCTCGTCCTCCAACTTGCAGAAGGTAATGTTCATGATGTTCTCCTGAAGCGTCAGGATGTCCATGGTTCCCACCACCTTGTCCACATCAATAGCAGCCAGCCGCCTCCAGTCCATATTCCCCAGACGTGGCCGGAATTTGAAAAAGGGCACGGGTCCAGATGCCGAGTTGGTGCTGACAAAGACCCTAGAGGATGCTCCTCCCACTGGGGCTTCATACCTCTCCGGACTTTTGGACTGAGGGTAGTAGATATGTTTCTGGAAGGACATTCTTGAAAGCCCCTCCCCTGCCTACACTCCTGATGGAGGAACAGGGTAGTCTTTCCTATCAGGCCAAGCTATCCATAGTCCCAAGTTACCATATCCAGTGTGAGCAGGTGAAGACTTGAGCTCCTGCTGCAACGGTTACGGTCTAAGACCTAGGCTTCCAGGACGTTGCTATGGCAGCGCTCAGCCTCATCTTGGAGCTCAAGGCCTATTTGCCCACGAGCATTCTGAGAGCACCCAAAGACTTTACAAATGGAGAGTGCCACATCCTGGAGAACTTAAGTCTTGCAGATTTACGAGTAAAATCTTCTATCTTCATGGAATTTGCAGTGTTTTACTTCAAGATAGGATATTTTTTCTATAAATTAATTTTATCTCCTCTTTGTCATGTCATTTGTTCATACCCCCCCACCATGCTTCTCTTGGTAGTCATGGATTCCTTTGTAGCCCAGACTGGCCTCAAACGCAGGCTCTTCCTGCATGTGCCTTTCCAGTACTGGGATGATGTGGCACGTGACACTAGCTAGTTCCATCTTTTCCCGTCACATAAAGTCCTTCTCAGACATAAATGAACTTTAGATTATAGTCCTTCTCAGCCATAAATGAACTTTAGATTATGTGAGTTATACTAGCTGCCTGTGATAAGAAACTAAGTCAGGACATCCCCTTCTTGGGCATGGTATGAGGAGTGGAGTTATATTTTCACTTTTTCTTTTCCTCATGAAGACCTATTGAGTAGGCAGTGAAGTTAGGGAGCAATATGTAGTGACAGGAAGTTGTAGAGAAGGGACAGTTTTGTGACTACTGGCACATGAGCCTTACCTGAAGGAAGATGATCAGCATTCTGAAGACTTTTGTTATTAAATTAAGTTGTCAAAGAAGCCCTCAGACCAAATGCAAGAGCACCCATTGAGTATTTGTGTCCTTACATAATTAACTCCTTTAAAGAGTTATTTGTATTTATTTATAATTATATTTAATTATAATTGATAAGACTATTTAGTTGACTGAAATATTCTTTTCTTTTCCCTTTCAGCTTTTTTGGGGATCTGACTGACAAAAATGTCTATTTTCAAAGTGTATAATGGTGTTTGATGTGTATATATATATGTATAAATATATGTACATAAATCTGTGTACACATATACATGCATACATATAAAGTAAAAAGATTATGACTATCAAGTAAACTGACATGTTCACATCACCTAAAATAGTTGTGTTTTGGGGAGTGACTATCCTTAAAATGTACCCTCTCCATAAATTCCTGTACACAAGACAAAATAAATCCTGGGGCTCCAGCCTTCCAAGCAGGAGGTAGACTTTGATAGTTTAAGGATGGAGAAAAGCATGGCAACAGCACTTATTTGCAGAGAAGAAAATCATGCACATTTCTCTACCATGGCTTTGCTCTTTCTGTTTGGAATGTCTCAGTGGTGGTAATTTTCTAATGGGGAATATTTTAGTTATCTTCTCTCAGGCTTACAATGGGAGCACCATTTAGGGTACAGGTAATTTGGCTTTTTTGCTCAATGTTCAGGAGCAGGAAAAGTTCCATTCTGATGCAGTTAAGGGTGAGGACCTTGACTTTTTTTCTGATATGTGTTATATTTGTGGCAGGAAGACTGAAGTGGTTAGATTTTAGCTAGCAAGGTAAGACATGCTGAAATTTTCTTTTTATTCACTAACCTAGTTATATGAACCCTTGGGTTCATATAACTGTATATCAAAGAACCTCAGGTAGGTAGGAGTCAAAAACTAACAGCCCATTGCAGAGACTGGAAGAAACTTCCTCAGGGCTATCTGAGATACATATTGCCAACACATTGATTTTAGCTTAGTAAAATTAATTTCAAAATTCTGATCTACATATCATGAGAAAATAGATTTCTTTTGTTTCAAACTGTGCACTTATGGTAATTTGTGGCAACAGTCCTAAGAAACTACCCAAAACATTGTTCAAAGGTACATTAGTTTACTTTACCTTTCCTTCCCAGTAACATTTAAAGTCCATAATGTTTTGGAATGCTTTTTCATCTTGTTGCAAATACTTCATAGCAATTTAATTGTTGGAAAGTCATTGTCTTTGAAATAGAACATTATCTATTTGTGTGATTACTATCGGGGCTTAATGTTTGTAAGCAACATGGAATGGTTCTTGTCACTCAGAATGCACTGTAAATTAGTATTAAATGCATTATTCAGAAAAATTGCTCACATTTTGAAGCAAAGGAAACTGTTGTTGATGGGGAGTCAGTGGTCAAAATGGTTTCTAGGAGAAAGTATTTAGACACAAAAGACAGAAACATATTTGTCTTGTATTCTAGAGACTCTTTGAAAGAAGGTACTTACTATTATCACATTTTAAAAGTTGTTTAAATTTCTTTAGCCATACCTGTGAAGTATATATTTTATAATTTGAACCTAAAATAAAGCATTCCACCGGTTTATAAGCTCTAAAGAAACACAGCAAAACCAATCAATATGGAGAGACTGATAGTTTTAATAAAACATAGTAAACTACTCGTTGAGAAAAGAAAGAACATTTGGATTTCTTTGATTTGTTTCATCAGCATCTGTAGAAGAAATAAATAACAGTTTTGTACAAAATTTGTCAAATTTCTTACAGAAACAGCATTCTTACAATTATATATTCTTAAGGAATTAAAATAAACATAGTAGTTTAATTAATGCAATTTTACAGTTTATTAGAATGCATATATAGGTATCGAAAATCATGGGCTTGAGTAACTATTGATTTAGATAAACACTATCTCTTAATATTGCATAATTTAAAGAAGAATTTATTCTCCATTTTAATAGACTTTCCAGAAAGGCAACATTTTCCCCCTTTACTTATTTCTCATTGAGTATCTTACATGTAATAAACTTGAAACACATGCCTGTGAAAAATGTGACATTGTTAAATGTATCTAATACTTGGTATTATTCACTAATAGGTCTCTGATCTTAAATACTAATAAAATAACTATGTTGAATAATTTAGCAGTGGTCAAGGTTTAAGTAAAAACTGAAAATGTTTATATCCTTAGGAATGATTATTGTTAGGGTGCATCATTAATAGTATTGCCATCACATTTGATTTTCAATATAACTTTAGGGACTGAAGCCACCTCAGTTTTTAGAATTTTTATTTGACTGACAAATAAAATAATATTCCATCATTTCCTTGTCCAGCAAACATTTATAATTATATCCTTGTAGTAGTTTTGGGTAGGACAGAGTAACAAGGGCTTGGAAGGATTAATCATTTTATATATTTTGATTATTTTTGATTAAATAGGAAGTGAGGATATACTCAACTGAGCATTTTGGCCAGGACCTTTAATCTTAGGACAGTGACTGAGGGATAGAGGGGTAGAAACTGGGTAAGAATGGAAACTGAAAGACAGCATACAAAATGGCCCACTGGTCCTTAATGGGCAGAACTTCTTTATAGTTTAGTCTCCTTCCCATTTATTGAGGCTTATTCCTAAATTGGTGACTATTATACAGGACTGCCAGGTCATAATCAATTTGGATCAGTTTAAAGAAGAGCCTGACAATCTTACACAGGCCATAATCCATCATGCCTTAACTTCTGGGGCACAGATAACCAGCAAATGCATGCCACTGTCTCACTTTCATATATATCCAAAGATAATTTCAGCAGGGGAGATGTAGTATAGTTAATTAACAACATCCATATATCACTATCATGCATGACTTACAGAAACAAATGAATAACTCTCTTCTCTAGAAAAATCTCACTTCTGTACCTATAAAGAAAAAGGATATTCATTTAGGATTAAAATGTACTTCTTTTGGTAGCATCAGGGCTTTCTTTCCTAAATAATAGGGCAACTTGGAGATGCTTTATAAAAGGCCTAGAGAAATCTGCTTTCAGACAAGAGGGGCATCAGAAAATGAATTTCTTCTCTTTCTGAAACAAAACATGTGCTCAGAATTATGAAAAATGGGCTGGGTGTGGTGGTGCATACCTTTAGTACTAGCACTCAGGAGGCAGAGGAAGGAAGATCCCTTTGGGTTCTAGGCTAACTTTAGTTACATAATGAGACCCTGCCTGAAAATCAAAATAATTATGAAGAAGAATTTTTTCATGATTTGAACTTCATGCCGTGAAGAAGTGTTATTCGTCACAGGAAACAGAAAAGGTGAGCTAATAATTGTTTTAGTATATTGCCTCCAAGAGTTCCAGAGTTACACATAGTAGGTTAATTTTGAGTGTTTGTGCATGGGTGTGCTTGTGTGTGTGCGTATATGACAAGGTAAATTTGTTCAGCTAATCAGCTTACAATTTTATTATATGTGTATTAGTGTTTGCCTATATTGTATATATGCATAACACACACACACTCACACACACATACACATGCACACACACACATGTGTGCCTGGGGCATGTGGAGGCCACACGAGAGTGCTGGATCCACTGGAAGTAGAATTACAGATGAATGTGAGCCTGCATGTAACTGCTGGGAATCTAACCTGGGTCTTCTGTAAGAATAAGTGCTTTCGACCACTGAGCTATTTCTCTAGCCCTGACTCATCCTTTTTATCTAACAAGAAGTTTATCAAAGATGAGAGATATGATGTGAAAGGGGACAAAAGGCATTGGGGGTTATGTATTCAAATATTCAAATCCTGAAAATTCTTCTCATGGGTATATGCAAATGCCCTATACACTTTCAATATCTGCCATTTATTTATAGACCAAATAAACAGCAGCTCCTAATACTGAAGCAGGTGTGTTTCTTGTACAGAAGTTGTGTGTCTTCCCTCCTACAAGACACTCACTCAGTGGTAAAGTAGGCTAACTTACCTGATAAAAAAGGAAAGGCTGGGGTTCTTGGCTACCAGGTTTGGCCTCAGCAGGCTCAGCACTCTCAGGTTTCACTTCAGTGGGCTCAGATGTAATAAGTTTTCCCGGAAGAGACTGGCTTGCCACAGGTTCAGGTGGAGGAGGCTGGAGGGCAGCAGGCTCAGGTGCAGAAGGTTTGATTTCAGCAGACTGGCCTCCAGCAGGCTCAGGTGGTATAGACTGAGCTATAGAAGGCTCACCCGAAGCAGGTTTGTTTTCAGCAGACTGACCTGCAGGGGATTCAGCTGATATAGCCTGGGCTGCAGCCACAACTTGGGGTGGAGCGGGTTCAGGTGCTATGGGGTGGCCTGCAGGAGACTCAATTACCCCAGACGGGGCAGGGATAGATTCAAGCCCACCAAACTGAACTGGAACAGGTTCAGATGGACCAAACTGGGCTGGAGCAGGTTCACCTGCGGAAGCTTTTGGTTCAGCAGGTTGTGGCGGCAGTGGTTGTCCAAGTTTGACTGCAGTAGGCAGGCCTGAAATACTTTTGTCTACAGCAAACTCCGGTACCAGGCCCTCGCCTACAGCAGGTGCTCCCTGGGGTGATGCAGGCTCAGGCGCAATGGGTGAAACAGAAATCTTTGGAGGTATGACAAAGGGATATGGCCTGGGAGGAGGGGGCGGGGGAGGAGGGAGAGGAGCAGTTGCTGCGGGACCACTCGGTGGAGCATCTGAGGGATAATTAGGGTTTTGGTATAGATAGTGAACTTTAGAAGAAGTAAGAATCCAAGGGTATGGAGATAGCCCTCTGTCAAGGTCCGGATTTCCAGTGAATTTGGTGATGGTATTTCCTTGGTGAGTGTCCACAGGAGGCAAAAGAAAAGGCGGCAAATTATCATTCCATAAGCCATATGGGATATTGAGAGATGGATTAAGTGGGTAGCGATGTCCATAGTAATCCTAGACAGAAGGAAAGGGGTTCATTATAGTTGATTGTTTATACTCCTATTTCTGCTATGACTGTGGTCATATGTAGATAATGTTTTTAAGAGAACACCCATTTAGTCTTTCTTAATAACTAATATGCATCCATAATAATTGAAGTGAAACTAGTTTGAGAAGATCAAGTAAATCCAAACTGTAGGAGAAGCATTTTGCATATTGACAAATGAGTGTTGCCTCCTTCAGAATACACTGCCTAGCCTAGGATGGACATAGAAGAGGTATGCATGAGTGCATTTTAGAAGACTGACGTAGGATGAGAGAACTGGTTCTTCCAGGCGTCTATACACCATGTTCTTTCTCCATGCCTGCTGCACTTGGCACCCTCCTTGCCTCTAAATTTTCCCACCTGAGGCCCTTATTCCCATGCTCCTCTTCCAGGTATAGAACTGATTGTGACATGTGGCCTGGATTTGTCCTGTTTTATCAAAACTTCAGCTCCTTCAAGGATTTGTTATCAGAAGAGTGAGCAGGAAATATGGGAAAGGAACTTGGTTTTTTATATATAATTTTCCCAGTGCTATTTCTGTTCTAAACAAATATTTTAATAACATTGATCATGATTTTTTTATCCAATTTTCAAAATCTCACTTGTAGTAAGACCACCACTTGTTTCTCTAGCTGTTCTAAATTTGTCTATCCCCAGATTGTCAGGAAGATTGTCAGGAAGCTCAGGTCACAGAACTATGTGAGAATTCACAGAAAATAGGAATGCTCCTTACTCATGCATACATAATATTTTATATCATATCATAAATATTTTCATGAGCTGACCACCCCTGGTTTACAAACCATGATCTTAGAATTTTGATATGCTCTAGAGCTACAACTTGATTATAATTTTTAAAAATTGACAAACTATACATAACAATTTCATGCCCTGAGTTGTTTTATTTAGATCCTTGTCCACGGTGTTTTCCTAATAATAGACTCCCTGTGGATAGATTCAGTTCTCAAATTTTCAAAAGTTCTGGCTTCCTTCTCAACTATTTTCTGTAATGTCAACCTTTATAAGATTATAATTCATTTGAAACCACTCAGCCTAAGAAGCAAGCATGACGATGTACAGGGGACCAGTTTGGATAAAGCTTTATGATATATAAGCATGGGTATGGATACATATGCATACATAAGTAGGCCATGAGAGGAAAGGAAGTGAACATTTTCCTAAATGAATCCCATAGTCCTTCAAGGAAAAATATAATAAAACTGAATTATTTAACATTATTTGATGAAAAATGATAGCTTATAGAAAATAGTATATGTTACCTATTAGTATATTTAATTATAGATAGATGTGAATACAACCTACCTCTTCACTGGGCGAGGGTGATTTCTGAAACAAAGAAGAGATTTGTTTTAAATGTGATGTCATTGAAAGAGTAACAGTTCAAATCCCTCCTTACAACTGGAGGGGTTGTGTGTCATGAAGTTTTTCTTTTTTAAGAGTCATGGATGGTTGTTCTATTTTTAGTTTTCCTATAACTGTGTATAATCTTATTATTATTATTTTGAGACAGTATCTTGTTATGTTGCTTTATGGTACTTGGTATATATCCATGCTGATCTCAAAGTTATGACAATCCTCCTGGGTGGGTCTCTTGTGTTCTGGGACCATGGACATGTACCACGATGCCTGACTTTCAGTAAACATCCTTCATATGTGGTGTGATGCATGACAATATTAGTGAGGGAAGAACCTGAGAGTCAATGAGACAATGACTTGGGGGGTGGGGTGAGATGAGGCATGGATCCACTACTACTATTCTGATAAATGGACGTAACAATAAAATGACTTTTAATGACACACTGCTATACCCATAGATAAGCACATTGATGACAATTAGCACAGATCCCCACAATTGGACAATGTGCAGACGGTGAGAAACCTCAGATCACTTAGCCTTAAAAGAAATGTCTTTGTCAGACTCCTTGATTCAAGGCTCAGGGATCGTTAAAGCTGAGAAGGCAGAAAGATTTTAAGAACCAGAGGTGGTGAATGACTCCATGGAAACAGCATCTTCGATACAAGAGATACAAGATTGATCAACATATGAACTCACAAAGACTGTGACAGCATGCAAAAGACCTTCACAAATTCAAACCAGGCACAATCCCAACGCAGAGAAGAGGAAGTGGGTACAAAGTCCCACCCCTAACCAGGAACCCTAACCCTAACCCCTAACCAGGAACCTGTTTGCAATTGATACTTCCTGGTAGCAGGAAAAATTGACTTTCTCTGATGAGGTGACACACTCCAGGGCAGACCTCATGCTCAGGAGTAGTGTATCAACACCAAACAGACATGTTTTTTTGTGTGTTCTTTTCTTTTGTTATTGCTTGGTGTTTGTTGTCTTCATGTTTTTTTCTTGCTTTGTTTTCCTGTCCTTTTGGTTTTTGGGGAGATTTTACGAGAGAGAAAGAATATGAAGTTGGGTGGGTAGGGAGGTGGGGAGACTCTGGGGGGACTTGGGAGAAGAGAAAGAATGTGATCAAAAGATAATATTGTATGAAAAATTCAAAAGTAACAAAATGTTATATAAATAAATAAAACTTCAAGGGCAATATGATATTCAGGGCTGGGGAGATGGCTCAGGCTGCAAATCTCCAGACATAACAGAGTTGGGGAAAGAGGGGGTAAATAAAGCTAAAATACTGCATGAAACTCTCAAAGAACCAATAAAAATAAAAAATATTATATGTGTGTAATCATTTTTTATAAAAGCCAGACACAGAGGTATGTATCTCTAGTCTCAGTTTGTGGGGTGGGCAGGGTGGGACATGAAGGTAGGAGTATATCCACATTTTGTTGGCCAGTCAGCCTTGCCTAATCACTGAACGAGTAAGTGAAGAAACACTGACTTGAAATATAAGGGAGAGAGCAACTGAATAAGACACCAACTTCAACTTCTGTTCTCCACACGTGTACACACACACCTTCATACACATGACAGCCCCCTATGAATATATGAATATAACCTCCATATCCAGAAAATCATGGATGTTCAATACTCTTTCTACCTACTCCCAGTGTTTCTATCCTGAAACTTAAATTTCATATTCACAATGAAGTACCATAGTCAAAACTTTTTGTTAATTTTTATATATAGTTCCTTGTTTACAACAGATACCCACATTATATCCTCATTTGTGCTTGGCTATGAAATGAGGCTTTCAGTATAGCTTCTCAATGAATGTACATTTTTTCAGGGAATTTGAAGTATTCTAATATTTTGCTTGAATAGTATTATTTCTTTATTTGTATGTGTGTGTGTGCGTGTGCACGTGCGTGCATATACGCACGCACACACACACGCGCACGTGCGAGAGTTTGCTTTGTGGTATGCTGCTTGTGAACACTGGGATTCTAGATATTACAAAATGCAGCCAGATTTCTTTTTCAGATGCCTGGAATACTATACGTGCAGTCAGCCAAACTTTCCATTTAAAATTTAGTATTGCTTTCCAATTTTAGATTGATTTGCTATGATTACTAATCTTAAAGTCCTTCAATAGGCCATTTTTTCCATATTCCCTAAGGTAGGAGATATGCAAAAAAATAACATCGCTGGACAGGCCCAGGGACAAAATTCAATTATTTTTATTGCCGTTTAATGCACTGTAGAATCTAATGATTGTTAACTTAAAAATTGAAAATAACATAAAATACTCTTTCAGTTTTGAAAAGTTTTAAAGCTTTTTAACTGATTTGCTATAAGTTTATTTGTTTTTATTCAAAAACATTTACATTCCAGGCCTTTTGGTTTTTCTTTACTATAGTATTCTATCAATATGTAACACACTTATGAGTAAGAACAATTGTCATTTTGTGATCACACACTTGCCATCAGAATTTGAGGCAAATATTACAAGAACTGAAGACAATAAAGTTATCAGTAATATATTTGTCTCCTACATGGAATAATTTATGGCTCTTCTGCACAGAAATCACCCAACTCTTTGGACTATGTGCACAAAAGATCTAGATGAAATTCATTCAGGCATAATGGTAGATATCTATAATCCCAACACATGGGAGAGAGAAGCAGATGGATCAAAATTAAACATTATGATCAGAACACAGAGAAGACTGAGGCCATCCTGGGCTACATGAGGCCTTTTCTCAACATCTCTTCTTTAAAAGAGAAAACAACCCATATACCAACAAAATATATAATTGAACATATAGTTGCTCAGCATCTCATGTTTTCTGTTCTAATATCTCATGTCAGCATTGTCTCATGGGTTACATTACTTAAGTACAAATTAACAAAAACAATTGAGGCATGAAGTTAAATCAGGACATAAAAAACTTGTACCACACCATATAAGGAGTGCATTTAATGCCTCTGGTTATCAGAAATGAAAGCTTGCTTGTAAATATTTGTCACAAGTATACTTATATTCCATAAAATTGTATCATCTAATGTGAAGAAATTAATATAGTAAATGTTTTAATAACAATTAGAGCCAATTGTATTGGCAAGAAAATGAGAATTTTAAAATAAAATATATTTTAATGATAAAACAAAAATATTTTTATAAAAATCGAAAGGTCTTTACCTTATGAATGAAGGGATAACGCCTCTAAAACAAATAAGAAAAGTATTTTAATGTGGTCATTTAATTGAGAATACCTGCATTTAAACTTTCCTATTACTGAAGAATTTGCATAACCTTATTAAAACTTTTTCTTAGTATGAGTTACTGGTCTGAATAGAGTAGATTTGCCATCATAATCATTATGATATTTAGGACAGCAAAGTTTTATTTTGGCAGAATAGAATTTAGTTTGCAATATTGTATATGCAGGGAAACATTGCCATATAAAAGGTCATTTGGCTGTTATCTATACATGTTACTTTTATTTGTCTCTTTTATCACCCATGTGTTGCTGTGTGTTGGTAGGACAGGTCTATTGCCACTCTTTGTAGATCTATATATTGTTTTTCTAATGAAGCTCCATTATGTCTTATGAATTCACCACAGGTAAGGTACCCTAAAGAATAAAAACTAGTATAGGAAACTTAACATGTACTATTTTAAGAATTATAAATTAACTAAGGTACATTAAAGGAACATAATAATATTGTAAAATTTATTCAGGAAGCTAATAATAGTTATGAACATCATGTTGTCTGAATTTCTACTCCATCTTAAAAATTTTGATCAGCACTTTCAGTATTTATCTTACTTAGCATTCAAGGCAATTACTTGGAGTGAATGTTCCTTCTTCCCAAAGACAAAATTTAACACATTCGTTCTCTAGTATTAACTTTGCTTTTAGGCCAGATATTGGTATTCCACACATTTAGTCCCAACATCCAGAAGACAAAGGGAGGCAAATCCCTGAGTTTGAGGCCAGCTTGGTCTCCATAGGGAATTCCTATGGAGTTGAATTGCAGTCAACCCAGGAACACATAGTGGGATTTTTGTATGAAAAAATGTTGTAGAGTCTCATTGATTCACATTGCACTCATGTTTATTTATTTCTATCTTGCTGAGGATCTTTTGATTCACCATTTCATATCCCATAGCTATCTCAGCAATGGGATTTCACTGTTGGAGAAACCCTGCTGAGGTTATCTATATAGGATTCCAAGTCTCTTCAAAGCTATATCCTTCCAGATCCCTGTTTTTTTTTTGTTTTTTTTTTGTTTTTTTTTTGTTTTTTTTTCTGTCTCTGGGTTTTTATTATTCATGCTATAGGTGCAAATAAGACAAATGGATAGCAGTTACAAAATCCAGGTGAAAGGTATACAGGAGATTTCTATTATGTTTTTCCAATTTCCCTATAACTAAATAGTAATAGAACACTAGTCTGACATGGTAAAGGCCCTGCAGGGTCCTGCTCTCAGTACCACAAAGAAAAAAATATAGTAAACACATATTTTAAAGTGTTGAATGTCATCATCATCTAGGACAAGCTTGATCTGATCCTGAGCTAATGTTCAGCCATGGAGATTTTCAGAAGCTGTGCAGGTGACTTACAGGCAGCCCAACTTTCTGCCGTGCTGCTGTGAGAACTGTGTCATTAATTCTAAATGAAACAGAATGTCCAAACCAATTGGTTTGGGTTGCTATGGTTGTTTCTGCTGCTTATTTTTATTTTTCTGTTTTGTTTTGAGATAATCTCAGTAGGTAGTCCAGGCTTGCATTGGATACATGTCCATCCTCCTGCCTCAGCCTCTGAAGAGTCAGAATTGTAGACACATCACTCTTCACTTTGTCTTGCTTTTATAGTATTTTGTTTTGTGATAATCTCAGTAGTTAGCCCAGGCTTGCACTGAACATGTGTCCATGCTCCTGCCTCAGCCTCTGGAGTGTCAGAATTATAGACACATAACTCTTCATGTTGCTTTGTTTTTGTAGTGTTTTGGTTTTTTTGAAACAGTCTGCTGGTTAGTTTTGTCAGCTTGACACAAATCTACACCTATCTGGAAGAAGGGAATCTCAACTGAGAGATTGCCTCCCAAGGAGTTGGCCTGTAGACTTCTGGAGGCATTTTCTTGGTTGGTGAAGTGGAAGGGCCCCGCTCACTGGGGGTGGTGCCACCCCTGGCAGGTGTTTCTTCCCCATGTTGCTTTTGATGATGGTGTTTATCACAGCTCTAAAAATCAAACTAATGTTCTCATTTAGAGTAGGTTGGCCTTAAACTACTGAGTCTGCCTCAGTCTCCCAACTGCTGAGATTCCAGGCATGCATCATCTCCTCCAGATTACCTGAGGCCATGAGCAGCAATGGGATATCATCTTCTTATGGTTTTATAAACCAGCTTGAGATGTTAACTAGGAATCAACATATAGGGGGAATGGGCATGCAGACAGGAATCCATGTCTGAAAGGAGCTTGGATGCGAAGGTTCCAGGAGTCCAGCAAGGGGCATCGAGATCTGGGAATAATGTTGGATATAGGATTCCTGAGGCATGCTGATAGATGGGATTGGGGGTAGAAGGGCAGTCATGCGGGAAGAGCTAAAGGATGATGTGTGTGTAAGTTTTGCTTTGTATTTTTTTTTTTTGCTTTTAGAAGCTAATGTGCTTAAAATATTCTGGTATGTGCTTATTTACTTAAGATAGAGTCTGCTGTACAACCCAGTCTGGCTTCAAACTTAAGAGCCTTCCGTTGCAGCCTCCTGAGAGTTAGCATCACAAATGCATGCCATCACACCTGGCTATTTCAATCTTTTGACCAAGAAGATATTTCTTGGAATTTGTCCTCCAGGAAGACACTAAGTAGATCCAAGAATGAGCAAGAATGCCCAAAGCTGTATGGAATTTGAAGATGGAAAATCAAACACTGCCAAATCCTTCCACAAATAAGTAATGAACACCAGCTAAGTCTGCTCAGCCTCACGTTGTCACTTAGGCTCTGGGTCCTGCTGCTTCTCGCATTCTCGAGGACTTTGTTCTAGCTGTCCTCTCCTCATCCATCAGCTCCTCCTCTCTCAATGAACCGCTCCCATTGGTATAAAGTGTGGTGTCATCATATTTAAAAGCAAACGAAACTCTCCCCTGACTTAGACCATCCCCAGCTGCTCCATCTCTCCGCTCAGGGTCAACTCCAGTTGCTGAACTCTCCTTGCCTTGCAATTTCTTTTGAGCCACAATTCTAGTTTGTCTCTCTACCATTTTGGCAAACTCAAAAGCCATTCTTAGTCCTCCCTCATTTTCATTTCCCTGTTAAAGGATTTGGCGGATATGCCGGTATGAAACAGGTTCTCACTATATCTGAAAGTCGCTCCTTCTTTCACTCACCACTGTACTGTCCTGTCTCCTGGATGCTGATGTCCAAACTGTTCTGTCAGAGGCGCAGCCCCTCCACAATTGTGTTCTTTCATTTCTGGTGATATCATCCAACCCATGGCTTTCAATGGTATCTAAATTGATGACTTCTGGATACTTCTCTCAACATCTAATCACCCTGATTACCATTTCTACTTAGATGTCTAAGAGGTCACATACCTGACCCCGCCCACTCAGCATTTCTCATGTCTCTTAAAACCTGAGCCTCCCCTAGTTTCTTCCAAATTATCCGATGTCATCACCAGCCACCCACACATTCAGGGATGCTCCTTCCAGAAGGCTCACAGCTCCCTGTTTTTGAGCTCACCTCTTCTCCAAGCTATTGATCTGTTCCATGTTTTTGAACCTATTGGTTTGATTTTTGGATATTTTCTCTCAAGATTTTGACCAAGCAAAATTTATGCCCACAGCATATTTTTCTGCTGACTTTACAAGTGCTGTACTCATTTCACATTCATTATGACTTCTCATAACCCTTAGTTGATATTTATAACCAGTTTAGCAGACCTTGAGAGTCCAGTTACTTACCCTCTTTGCAAAAGCAACACACATGACGCAGGCCCAAAGGAGTAACTTCATTTTGATAGACCCTGTGAATGTGAATAGTAGAATTTGTTTTACAAAACGTGTACTGTAACTTTTAAATTAATTCAGAGAGAAACAGGTGTCATGTGGGTTTACTAGTGTGACAAGGAAGTCACTCAACAAAAAAATTGTCCTGATATTTAACTACTGCCAGCATGGCTTAATAGGGATGGCACTAAAGCCCATTCATTTGTTTTTCTCTTTTCCAGCAATTAATCAATATCTAATTAAATTTTCTTTATATGGAAGCAAATTCACTTTGTAACTCAAGGGCATCTTTTGCAATTAGTCTCTTTTGGAGGGTCTACCTGGAAATGGAATTGTTTTAATTAGTCACACTGTGCATGCCTTATTAAGAGTTTGCATATATGGACTCAATGGGAGACTTCTACTATTTACCTGAAAAAACTCCCACTTTCTCTCACTTTCAAATTTTTCTTTTGCCATTGGCATATTAGACCATTAGACCTCTAATTACCTCAAATTTTATGTCACCCAAGAATGAAGGAACATATATATCTAGTTGCTTTATCGTTAAAATTTATATCTTTTCCTTTCAAAAACATAAAACATCTCCATTCTTACAAAATATCTCCATACAAAGACCATTTTGCAACATTATCCCGAATTCTCAAATGTGAAAAATAGAAGTATCTAACCTGTTGTGTTTTAGCAAGAATAATAATATTAAATCCTCGATCTATTTGAAATGAATATTTAGGTCATCAATGTATCTGAGATGTATTAAAAAGTCTTTATAGTTATATATTATCTTTTTATAATTGTTTCCATAATTTTATTTATTTTCTATAACCAATATTTTTGTGGTATATATATACATAACTAATTTTATGCTATATAAAGTCTAATAATATGAGGAAATTCCAAGTTTGTTAGATAAGACCATGTACGGTTGCTGATGAATCCTTAAGAAAGAATAGTTTGCCAAACTCACGGGCAGTGAAACTGTAGGCTAGCAGTCCCCTGTTCTACATCTAAAATCCATATATGAGAGAGTACATATCATGTTTGTCTTTTTGTGACTGGGTTGCCTTACTCAGGATGGTTTCTTCTAGTGCCATCTATTTGCCTAGATTCCATTTTTTTTCCAGTTGAGTAGTACTCCATTGTGTAAATGTACCACATTTTCTCTACCCACTCTTCAGTTGAAGGGCATCTAGGTTGCTTCCAGGTTCTGGCTATTACACATAATTCTGCTGTGAACATCCTACTGCCAGAAAGTCTGGGAAACAGAGAGTACCCTAAGAGAGATATGCATGGTACCCCAGAGAAGGGGGAAGGGGGCAGGATCCCCTGAACAGATTGGAAGCATGGGGGGAGGGGAGAGGGAGCTGGGAAAAGATAGGGGGAGAAGAGGAGGGGAGAGGAGGACATGCGGGAGAAGGGAAGTTGAGTCTGGGGAAGAATAGAGAAGAGCAGGATGAGAAATACCATAATAGAGGGAGTCATTATAGGTTTGAGGAGAGATCTGGCACTAGTGAGATTTCCAGAGATCTACAAGGATGACAATAACTGGCAATCTAAGTAATAGTGGAGAGGCAACCTTAAAAGACCTTCCCTGATAATAAGATTGATGACTACCTTATATGCCATCCTAGAGCCTTCATCCGGTGGCTGATGGAAGGAGAGGCAGACACCCATAGCTAAACACTGAACCCAGTTGCAGACAGGGAGGAGTGATGAGCAAAGAAGTCAAGACTAGGCTGGTGTAGCACACAGAAACTGCTAACCTCAACAAGGGGGAGCTCGTGGACCCCAGACTGATGGCTGAGAGGCTAGCATGGAACTTATCCAGATCCCCTAATTTCATGTGTCAGTGAGTAGGCCTTGGCAATCTATGGGGCCTGGGGTAGTAGATCAGTATTTATCCCTGGCATACAAATGGACTTTGAGAGCCCATTCCACATGGAAGGATGCTCTCTCAGCCTGGACAAATGCGGGAGGGCCTAGGCCCTGCCCTGGATGATATGACAGTCTTTGGAGTGGCAATTAGGTGGTGAGTTGTGGGAGTTGGTGGGGAGCAGGGGAGGAGAGGAGGGTGAGGGAGGTGGGATTGACATGTGAAGCAAGTTTGGCTCTAATATAAATAAAAAATGATAAAAAAGAAAGAATAGTTTGTAAAACAACATTTACAGAAAACGGCATGGGAGAAATACATGGTGTCCATGTCTTGCTTTTTCCAACTCTTTCTCAGTTGTTCAAGACATTTTGGGCCACATGTTACATGACTTCTCTTATGATCCTTGGGTGGCACACCAGGTTTTTATTAAGACATTAAAATTAATAGATGTAATGCTGTTTTAAAATTGTAATGTATTGTAAGCATGTGTGTCATTCTGTTTACATGTGAGTAGTATTAGATAATTATGGGAAAATCCCCAGAGGCATTTCTTGAGTCATTGGTTTCATTATTTTAATGTCTTAGAATATATATCTATTCTTGTCATGTATGCTATGCCAAATTTAATCAAGATAGGACGTGTCCTGTTCCCCTAAATGGTTACAGAAGTTCACACTGTTCCTTTGTCCTACTGATTGCTTTGATACTTCCCAGGGGAATTTACTGACTTCGTTGCTCTGAAGGCTGAAGTCTCAGTCCCTCTATGGAGGCTAGTTTTTCTTTTTGTCTTTCTCCCTCCCATTCTCACTTAGTGTGACACTTTTTTTTATTAAATATTTTAAATTACATTTTACATTCTGACCAAAGTTCTCCCACTCCTTCTCCCTCCCCCCTAGACTCCGCCCCCCCACAGTTCACCCCACTTCCATTCCTCATAATAGGTAAGGGGGTTGACAAAGTCTGTCACATTAAGTTGGGGAGGGGCCAAGCCCCTCCCCCCTGCGTTAAGGCTGAGCATGGCATCCCACCATAGGGAAGGGGCTCCAACAAGCTAGCTCATGCACCAAGGATAAATCCCCTCAGATAGCCCAAGCTTTACAACTGTCTCCCACAAACAGAGATCCTACTTTGGTCACATGGAGGCTCCACAGAGTCCTTAGACTGACTCTTAAAGAAGTTCCCCTCTGTGCTGTAAAGGGAAGCCTCTCCCTTGCCCAGATCTTATTTCTCAGCCTTTGTTTTCTAGCTCTTACTTTTTTCCTGCCCCCTCTTCTGCAGTGCCCCTGAGCTTCGATGTGGGTAACTATTTGTGGATGAAGATTCCTGTGTCACCCATTCTCTGCATCTTGTTCAGCTATAAATCGTTGTGGACACTGTTTTTGGGAAACGGGATTTCCTTGATTAAGACCTACAGTGGCAATTGTTTATGACTATAAACATATATTTAGAAGGCAGCTGGTTATTATGTAAATTTAAATTAAAAACGAGATTAAAGCCCTACCCTCATGCCTGATTGAACCTAAGATCTCCCTCTCTTGAGGGGTGGGTCTCTCCATATCGGTAGTGCCTATACATAGATTAAGAGGGCACACAGGATACACAGATCATCAGTGGCCTTTCTCCCCAGAAGCCTGAACAGAATTTTCTGGGACCATGGAAACTGCTCTGGAGCTAAGAAGCTTCCTGTAAAAATTTCCAGCTCACTTCCTCTGTCTTGTGCTTCTGAGGTGTGTGGTATCAATCAAAGGTCTTATCACCTAGTTCTGCGGTAATCAAATGAAATGGCAGGAACCTACAGTGTTCTAGGGGTCTCCCTGACCAACATCATGTTTTAAATGATTTTCAGTTCAAAAAGGCTGACTGATTGTAAATAAGATTTTGGTTTATTGGTCTTAACTCTAAAGATAACCTTTAGTTCGTAATTCTCTCCCCCCCTCTTCATTTCAGGGAGGCCATGCTATGCATTTTTATTATGTTAGATTCATTTTTATCTTAGATTTCCATGCCATCCTAATTTATTAAATTTATTAACTTTTTCTATTTGCAATTAGTAATAATCACTGTTAATAATTAAACATTCCTTTTTTACTATTACTCATAGGCCCACTACTATACATAAAAATTCCATCACCCTAAAACATCCCTTGAGTTGGTCCTGGATACTCAGCTCCTTTCTTTTCTCATAATACCTAGCAACCACTCAATAATTTTTAAATCTCATATTTTTGGTCCTTTCCCTTTCATATTTTGTCATATTCTTTTTATTTCCTTCTTCTAACTTTCCTTTTGATCCTCTCCTCATCTCTTCCTCTACCTTTCCCTTTCTTTATTCATTTAATGATTATCCAGTACTATTATAAGTCCTGGAGATTTATATGAGTAATATAATAATGTATATAAAAGGAATCTAGGAAAAAATTATGTGGGAGCACTTGACATTCAATGTTCCAAAGTACTATATCAATAAAGAAATTTAAAAGCTATATTTGAACTTAATTTCTATAATTTCAAAATGGAATGTTAAAAAATGTGTTATATCAAGCCTATTGCCATGAGATTAAACAATGTAAAAAATGTGTAAGTGTAGGAGTCAAGTCCTTTCATTAGGTATGATCTCACACAGACACTGGATTTTAGAAGACGTATGGACCAGAACATATCCTGTTATTTTGTATTCATAGAAATGTGTTCCTTTTAATCCAAGAATGCCTGCTAAATTTCGAAAGTGTCAGAAGGTTTAATTTACAAGGTAATTGTCCTGAAAAGGTACCACATTTTATGAAGTGAAACACATGGCTGGGCTTTTTTAATGTGCTTATTGTTTTAGTATTTTCTAATTCCCCAGTGATGTCACCAAATGAAGAATAAACAAGTGGGGAACAAACATATTAATCCAACTACATCATGGAGGTCATCTTGAATCTGGATTCTGAAAATCCTCAAAGCTTACTTAAAATGGAAAACGAGAAATAGTTGGTTGCTTTGTTACAGTTTGATCTGTTATAGCAAAATATTGGTTCCAAAATATATGAATTAAGCTCAATTCTAGATAATGTCTTGTAATAGAGACTTGAGAGAATTGATGCTTATTCATTAATTTTTATATTACCATTATATAATTTTCTGTGAAAGTAGTAAACACAGGAAGATATTCAGGAAATAATTGTGTCTCTATTTTGGAGAATTGGCAGCACATTTGATATGAGTTAGCAGAATTGGAAACTAGGTTTGTTTGTTTTTTGTTTGTTTGTTTTTGTTTTGTTTTTTCCAGACAGGGTTTCTCTGTATTGTTTTGGAGGCTGTCCTGGAATTTGCTCTGTAGACCAGGCTGGCCTCGAACTCGCAGAGATTTGCCTGCCTCTGCCTCCTGAGTGCTGGGATTAAAGGCGTGTGCCACCAATGCCCCATTGGAAACTACTTTTTAATCAGTAAAACATCATTGCAAATTTGAACAATTAAGTGAATCAGGCTATATACAAAATATGAATAGTTAGAAAATATGTACTTGAAATGAAAGTCCTAGAAAATACCAATCTAGTATAGATAATAGGAATCCACAACAAGTACGTCAGAGAAATAGTGAAAGGAAAATGTAAGAAGTATTAAAAAAGTGTGTCATGACAAAACCTAAGTGGAGAGTTGCTCCTGAAAGAAACATTTCATTTCTGATCTAAATCTATCATCGTTAAGTGACAATACCAGTAGTTATATTACTTATAAAATAGTAATTTTAATAATAGTAAGATTAGTTCAGAGAACATATAAGATATCTTAAAAAGTAATGCCTGGCCAACTCTAGGGAATAAAATCATTATTACTTCTGATACAACACTCATTCAAGAGGATAGAAACTGGGGTACAAGAAAATTAAGAGTTACTAACTTATAAGTGGAGAAAGATCACATACCCTTAGAAACTTGAAGGCAGAACTAAAGTTAATTTCTGATTTAAATCAAGTTCCTAGCACATTACACCAAGATTAAAATAATGTTATCAATGTGAGTTGTGTTTTTATTCCATAGATTTAGTATTGCCAAAAAGAAAGTGAAGTAGTTTTGAAAGTTAAGGTTGCTCTAGGAAGACTGCTGACTTTAATTCTGGCAAGAAAAGAGTCTGATGAGATGTCCTTAATGACCATCAAAGTTGAGAACTTGAACTTACTTTGAGACTCAGCTGCTTAGAGGGAACAGAAGTAAACATTCATTTTCAGCTATCAAGGGTAATATTTTCAGCTATCAAGGACGAAGTCTCAGAGATGTGAGGCCACCAGAGAATGTAACAGACAGACTGTAACATCATCAGATTGCTAAGGAATGGAAGGTTCTAAGAGGACAAAGAAGAGTTCTCGTAGCTTCTAACCACTCTACCTTTTCAAAATACGAGTCAAAGTCACCCTTTTCAGAAAAACTGTTGAACCTTTAGACTGTATAGGAAAGGTGTTTAGGTTAAGAGGACATGATAGATTGAACTGTGCTATGGGAGTAAAGGAAGGGCAGCTCTTGGTGTCAAAGATATAGACTTCATCCCTTGTTTTGCATCGAAAACATCTGGCAGCGTTACCTACAAAGCCCATCTAATGCTTTCCTTATAACTGTATATGTAAAACAGATTTCCAAACTGAAGTAAAACCCACCCTTTAATCTTGGTGTAATATGCTGGTAACTCTGCTCCTTTACCTACTTCTAAATCCTTTTCCCATCCCTCAGTATTCTCTGGAAGTACTGATCTACTTGGTTGCCCCCTGCAGCTCATGCAGGCACTGGCTGTATACATTTGCTGCTCTGTCATTTGAGAACACCTCAAATGCAGGGATTATGTTCTAGCTCAAGTGACCAAGGTAACACCAGCTTGCCTTACTCTGTTTTGTGATTGCTTACACAATCACATTTGCCTTGGCAACACACTTGAGATTTTCAAGGCCCTGACAGTGGTCCAGATATGTTAATCAGAACAAGTAAGTTTAAGAAGGTGCAAGTAAAATGTGGTTAATATGCTATGTCTGAAATAATTACCTTGTTCTGTCAAAAATAAATGTTGTGAGGTTACGCTACTCTGACCTTCATTTAACGTTTATGTAATTGTGTTTTGTCCTTTAAAATGCTATGTCCCTGAGCTTTGGCTCCAAGAGAACCTGAGGAATCAGCCCACTCTTCATCACTAGCCAAAAATAAAGGACTTATAAACTTTTTTTTTCTGTGTCTAGAACTTTATTTATCCCCGACACTTCCATTGTAAATCGTTTTTCTGTTGGAGACTTACATTTTGAAGGGCTCACTTAAGCCATGGAGATTATGGGACAAATGGAAAGCGTGAGAAAGGCACATGGAGGAAAAGCTGCCCACTGCGCTGGATGCCACCGTGCAGCTTTCTCAGAACTAATCTGAAAGCGAAACTGACTGGCTTTTGCTGGGAATTAAACATCTCTGGGTACACTGAGTATTGAGATAGCAGAGAACCAGTACACTTTGCCATTTATGAGTATCCAGCTCCAGCCTAGGCCCCGAAGGTGTCTGTGATCTCCGGTGGTCTGATGAAGGGGCAGCTGTGACACTGGGAACACTAGCCTGTCCAGACCTCTCACAATGTCATAAGGAGAAACCTAACTTCTCAGTGTTCAGAAGTGTAAACAAGGCATTAACTGACAGGGGCTCCTCACATAGTTTATAAATACAAGAGTAAAAAATATGCAGCTCTTCAGAGGCTGAGATGTGTTCAGAGGTTTGCTGTAGTGTGTGTGTGTGTGTGTGTGTGTGTGTGTTTGTGGTGAATGTATATGTGCACAGTCATGCGCTTGTGTGCTATATATGTACGTGTATATATATGGTGTGTATGCATGTAGTGTACATGTGTGTTTGCATGTGGTATGTATGTGAATGTATGTGTGCATACAAATTGTGAGGCATGTGTGTATTTGTGTATTTGTATGTGTGATGTGGGTGTATGTGGTATGCGTATGTGTGTATAGGGTGTATGGATGTAATTGTATGTGTGTACATATGTGTACATGTGTCATGTGTATATGTGTATGTTTATGTGTGGTATATGTATGTGTGTACACGTAGTATGTGCATATGCGTGTGTCTAGTGTGTGTGTGTGTGTGTGTGTGTCTGTCTTTTTTTTTGTTTTTGTTTTTTTTTTTTGAGATAGCATCTCCTGAAGCCCTGTGTCTGGTGTCAAACTTACTGTATAGCTGAGGATAACCTTGAACTTCTAATCCTTTTGCCCTGCCTCCTGAATCCTGGGATTATAGATGTGCTCCACCATGTCTATTTTATGTAGTGCTTAGAATCCAACTCAGGTTTTTGTCCATGAAAGGCAGGCACTCTACCAACTGAGCCATACCCTCAGCCTCTAATAGTGATAAAGTTTGGGATAAGAACACTTTACTGACAAAGTACCCTCAAGGTGATTACCACAATCGCTCTTCATAGCATCCCTAAGAGGTTTGCATGGTGACTGAACAATGAGCTTACTAAAGCTCAGGGGCATTCAGAGACTTGCCCAAGATCACTCCTTTGAGAGGATGTCCACAGCCAGGACATAAGGAACATGGTATCCTCTAAGTTTATCATGCTGTCAGTAATTGCCTTACAGAGTTTAAACAACTTCAGTTTTTCAATAGTCACTGCAGATGTGTTCACATAGAACATAACTTTGTTTTTGAATCCCAAGCTGGCTTCAAACTCACCACCTTCTACATTGGCCTCCAGAATGCTGGAATCATAGGAATGCATCGCCATTCCCATCTTCATATGACTTTTCATGTTCTTTCAGTTCAAAATACCTAATTCATTTGACCTAGTGACTACCGATACTCTTACTTCTACCTGACTGCTAGGATATTTTAAGAATTCAGGTCCACAATACAGTTTCTTCTGGAAATGACAGGACTGCTACACTCATGAACTCTTAGCAGCTGTGAGTGTCAGTATAGGACCTGCACAAGATCAAGTGAGTCAACATCCTAGCACAGTGTGGAAAGAAATTCATGATACCAAACCCTTACCCGAGGAGCTAAGGATAGATTCTTGGGCAGAGAGAGTCAGTGAATTTTAAGTATTTGGTCCCTGGTAGGTCAACCAAACTCCACTGACTAGCTCTACTTCCAAAGGTATGTTGAAAAACAATTGGATATGATGGGTTATCGAATAATAATTTTTAAGAGAGGATATAAAGTTGGGGTGGGTATGGAGTTAGGGTGTTTATAGGAGTAGTTGGGGGTAAATAAGATCAAAACACATTGTAGGAATTCTTTTTATTTAAATTAGAAATAAGCATGTTTTACATGTCAATTCCAGGTCCCTCTCCCTCACCTGATCCCCTGCCCACCACTAAACCACTATCCCATCCCCTTCTGCTCCCCAGGGAGGATGAGGCCTTCCATGGGGGATCTTGAAAGTCTGTGTGTCTAGGCTGGGAGAGATTCCCTCTGTGTAGATTGGGCTCCCAAAGTCCATTCTTTTGCTAGGTATAAATACTCATCTACTACCAGAGGCCTCGTAGATTACTGAGGCCTCCTCACTGACACACACGTTCAGGAACCTGGATTGGTCTTATTCTGGTTTCCCAGGTATTAGTCTGGGGTCCATGAGTTCCCACTTGCTCAGGTGAGCTGATTCTATGGGTTTCACCAGCCTGGTCTGTACCCCAATTTTTAATTGGTGTTTTGGTGACTAGCATCTTGAGTTCTTTATGAATTTTGGAGATCAGCCCTCTGTCAGATGTGGGGTTGGTGAATATCTTTTCCCATTTGGTGAGCTGTCGTTTTTGTCTCGTTGACTATGTCCTTTGTCTTATAGAAGCTTCTCAGTTTCAGCAGGTCCCATTTATTAATTGTCAATCTCAGTGTCTGTGCTACTGTTTTTATGTTCAAGAAGCTGTCTCCTGTACCAATTCGTTCAAGAGGACCTCCCACTTTCTCTTCTAAGAGGTTCAGTGTAGCTGGATTTATGTTGAGGTCTTTGATCCATTTGGACTTAAGTTTTGTGCATGGCCATAGATATGAATCTATCTACAAACTTTTACAAACCAGCATCCAGGTATGCCAGCACCATTTGTTGAAGATGCTTTCTTTTTTTCCAATTGTACAATTTTGGCTTCAAAAACCAGGTGTTTGTAGGTGTGTGTGTTAATATCAGGGCTTTCAGTATGATTCTCTTGGCTTATCTGCTTATTTTTGTGCCAATTCCAAGCAGATTTCAGGACTATAGTTCTATAATAGAGCTTGAAGTCAAGGAAGGTGATGCCGCCAGAAGTTCCTTTATTGTACAGAGTTGTTTTGGCTATCCTGGATATTTTGTTTTTCAATAGGAAGTTGATTCTTGTTCTTTCAAGGTCTGTGAAGAAGTGTGCTGGGATTTTGATGGGGATTTCTTTGAATCTATAGACTGCTTCTGGCAAGATTGCCATTTTTACTGTGTTGATTCTACCTATCCAAGAGCATGGGAGATCTTTCTATTTTCTGTTGTTTTCTTTAATGTCTTTCTTTAAAGACTCAAAGTTATTGTGAAGCAGGTCTTCCACTTTTTTGGTTATTGTTACCCTAAGGTATTTTTTATTGTTTGTGACAATTGTAAAGGGTGATGTTTCTCTGATTTTTTCTCAGCCCTTTGTTTTCTGTGTATAGTAGGTCTATACAGTTGATTTTGTATCCTGCCACTTTTCTGAAGTTATTCATCAGCTGTATAAGTTTCCTAGTAGAGTTTTTTTGGGTCACTTATGTAAATTATCATATCATCTGAAAATAGTGGAAGCTTGGCTTTTTCCTTTCTAATTTGTATCCCCTTGATCTCTTTTTGTTGTCTTATTGCTCTAGCAAGAACTTCAAGTACAATATTGAAAACATATGGAGAGAGTGGACATTCTTGCCTTGTTCCTTATTTTAAAGGGATAGATGACAGAATAATTTCTTTAAATCTTGCTGTTAATGGACTGAATATTTTAACTTACTTGATAACTGTTTTGTTATATATAAGTTGACTATGTTAAAGTTAAAACCTGTCTTGTTATTTAGACAGAAAAGAGATGATGGGGGAAGTTTTATGTACATATGTTTTTCTTATTGCTTGATGAATAAAACACTATTGGCCAATAGGGAAACAAGATAGGCAAGTGTAGGAGACAGAGATTTCTGGGAAATGTAGTAAAGCAAAGTCGCCATGTGATTCAGGCAGGAAGTGACATAGGAGGCAGTTAACAGTATATAAGCAAGAACAAACAGGAAATTGCTCTTTACTCTCTTCTTTTCTCTGCAGAGATGACTCGATGTAGATCCAAAGGGAATAAGAGGCCAAGACC